AAGAAGAGAGGGAAGTGTACTGAGCTGGGAAAAATACAAGGGACGTACAGGGAGATGTTCGAGGCATGGAATAGAGAGGAGAGGACGGTAGCTGTACTGGGGAGTAGGAAGTGGTTGGAAAAGGCAGGGAGGGATATCGTTAGGATAGACAGACTAGGGAAAACATTTTTGAGCCACCTTTGGCAAAGTAGGAAGGAGCGATTGGCCATCGGTGATCGGACAATGCTCCGTCCTCTCGAGGACGCGTGGTCAATGGTCTAACCGCTCATAAGGCATGCAAAACATAAGAGTACGCCCCCCTACCAAAAATAATTACATGAGCTAGGTGGGGGTCGGGAGCATGGCATCAACATCATCACATTTCTCATTGGACGCGCCCCCCAAACAACCCGTTTATTGTTTTCTTTCGAATTGCATTTATTAATATTTTCTACCGCCCGAGGGAAGAGAGAGATACCAAACTGGCAGAGAGCACATTTCCCGCAGACACGTGTCTGCGGCCTTTCTATCGTGCCTCTGCCTCTCTCCCAATAAAGACTGTCTCTCTCTTCCCTCCAAACAGCAACTGAGGGTGCCCTCTCCTGCGGTGGAGGGAACCAATCTTACTGCACACAGTAGTCTCAGATGACCAAGTCCCTAAAATGGTACCCTACCATTTTCTTCGCCTCACATACATACAGCTATAAGTTCTACCGGATACATAATCCGTCCTCTCCTTTCCCCCACCTTCGAAAGAAAAGGGGTGGGTGGGTGGGAAAAGACTCCACTTCCTGTCAGCTCCAGAGGCTGGCACACCGCTAGAAGCCTTCTATGTGACCACCTCGCTAGTTGTCTCTGCGATACTCTCTCTCTGGCACGCTAAGACTCTGTGGACACAAGGCTTGAACAGAATGGTAACATATGCGACTCCTCCTCTCGACCGAGGGGGCCCCGCAGTACGCAATGCGTTCCGGGTACCCCAATATAAACAGTATTGCAATTCGAGTTGTTTCAATAAACCTCGGTTTGTTTTGTCTACGCCTTTGTCTACGCCTTAAACAAACCTGCCCTTTCTTATATCTGGGGGGTATCGCACGATCATGTTTCTTATTGGAATGTTTCTCATGTTGTGGCCGAGATTGAGCTTAGTTTCTTAGCCCTGTTTTCTTATTTTTCGTGAAAAGTAGAAGTTGAGCCCTTTCTTCTTACAAGTCTCAAGTCTATGTTATTATTTACAGATTTTTTTGTAATTGCAGGCCCGTTCTGTACCTTGTCGAAAAGCACCGATCAACTGCTGCCTACCCTGGCAGAGGACGGTGTTTGACTATTGTATGCCGAGTTCAGGTAACCAACGGAACAAAGGTTGTTACAGCAGCAGCAGCGTCCCCTCTTGCTCAGAGTAAGCGATGGCGAGAGACTGGGAGAGAAAGGAAGGACAAGTCAGGGGTCGGACTGACACGGAGCAGCAAGCCTGTACGCAGGGGATGGGTACGCTCCACGCCACACTCAAAGCCGTCACATGACTCGGTCATGGCCGAAATCATGACCCGATCATGATCACGATAATAACGAGCTGACCCAATGATGTCACTCATTAGAGTGTTGGCGTCGCCTACGCCTTGACGGCAAAACATGCCCACACCGCCAGGGTCAATTGCACCAGGTCAGTACGGTCCAAGGATGGAGCGAAAACATCTCCCCAGTCTGACACTCTGACACTCTATGGAAGCTGCCGGTACGTGCAGATAGATATAGGGACGAGTTCCAACGACAATCTCCCATAATCTCCGATAGTTGTGAGCACTTTTTGAATTCCATCATTCCACCACGCTTGATCGTGTTCATCCAGGGGCATCTATGAACCGACGGAAGCTCAAACAACGCTCATAAGGCGCTCCACACTACGACCACGTTCTCTGTACCTGAAATGCTGTGCCTCCCGGAGAAATCGATATGGTGGCACACTGACCGTAGAGCGTTGAACAGCCCAGGAAGAGCAGTGGCAGCAGGAGCGACGACATTTGGATCTCTTGGTCTCAGTACCAGCTAACGCAGCGTAACCGCCGCTCTGACGAAAATGAACGCAATATTGGCGCTGGTAATACCACACGGGTTTGCAGAAGTCCGAAGATGTAGACGAGATTGTTGGAGGTGGCGTTGGTAATGAAGCGACGGTGCGAGGAGTGAGTGTAAGTGTTTGGCCCGACCAAGTTTTCTAGTTGTCGGGTGGATGTACTATTTTCATGTTTTTCGGGTGGATGTTGGCTGATTGCGTCTTCGTCCCGTCAAGATTTGCTGACCACACTGTTGGTGTGGAGACTCCACGTTGTCTCGCTGGCAAAATGCGGTCTGCGTTCTTGCTTCAAACGTCATACCGCGGTGGATAGTATACAACATGTAGACCATTGCACCCGGAGACCAAACGGGACTGATTGTCAAGTTCCGGTAGAGGTTTCCGCTGTGGCAGTCTGAACCGTTTCGAACAGTTGACTTCAGAGGTCATCATTACACAGAGAGGTCAGACAGTCAGACCAGGGCACCGACTAGAGAAGCCAATTGGCACCACCATTCAAATAGTCTACATACATGCTGTCGATCCTCACTGATTGTTCTTTTTTCAGGGTTCTGACTTTTTCCAAGATACTTTTCGCGTTGTCGTTCGGCGGCTCGTCTTCGGCGGCCAACTGCTTAATAATGTGTTTTTTTTTGTAAATGTGCCATCTTTGAACTCACTCGTCGTACAATGAATGAATGTTGATCGAATGGATGGGTTTTATGGTGAGTCAAATGCGTGGCCTTAGAGTTTACACTTTCATGCGAACTACACGTCGATAACTAAATATATTCGACTGGACTCAAACACGCACGCACTTACCGCCCCCCCTGATATTTTCTGGCGTTGGACGCTCATCACTCATCATTGATTTTTTATTTTCTTATTATGACACATCGAATCCATCTCTATCTGAGAAAACGCGTCTTCAACACTGTAACCGTTCGAGGGAGAACCGGTTTCTATGTACGGGTACGTCATACTACAGGGTGCAGCAGCACATAACTGTACGTACGTACCAGTGTAAAGAGAAACGCCCGCCTTGAAAATATACAGTACCGTAGTGTCAAATTATCATCAGCTGGGGCTGAAATAATAATAATGATGATATGGATATCGTACACCGTGCATACACATACAGAATGATGGTAGCAGCAACAAAGGGGAAAAGGCGAAAGTACTCCTAAACGAACTCGAGTACAAGGTAATAGCCTTGGTAGACGTGTGCAGTTTTCTTCTGCTGCCACCGTTTCTGTCTTTGATCCGAAGGATAGTTTCGCCTCCCCCATGCTGCCCCCTAACGGGGTCCCAGTTGATGGCAGATAGGAGTGTTTTTGTGTTTTCAACCGCACGAAGACTGACGTCTTTTCATTGGCCAGCGGGTTAGCGCGGTCGATGCCAATAATAAATATACACGCAAGGTGCCTCTCTCTGCCGTCATCACATGAATCAACGACAACTCGTGGATAAAGCAATAAAAATCGTAGCGTGTGGCGAAGTGGGTGAATGCGGAATCTCCAATGCCGTTGATGACGTATGTATCATGTGCGCATGCATGTTACAACCATCCTCACTGCGAGATACCGTTTTCTTCGCAACAATGAAGCAAGGATGGTATGCAAACGTCGTTTGCATCAGGCGATTTTCCTTCGGGTTATATGCAACAACCGAAGTAAAAATGCAGCTGCTATTCTACAACAGAGAGGGAGATGAGACTGGTATTGTACGTATGTATATGAACAACCATTGGACCATCATACATAGTAGACGCATCCGATCCATCGATTCTACAGTCAGTAGCAGCTAAAGCTTTTCTCGCCAACTCCACCCCTCAGCTGATGACCATTGACACCCAATGACACTACATGCATGTAGACCCAATACCATTCTTTTCTAGGGTTTGCGTATCTTGTTAGACTGATGCCTATGTGCTGCTGCGGTGCCCATGTGCTAACCTGTAGAAACCTCTTCTTCCTCCAACGGTTACAACAGGGGGGCAATAATCCACTATTTAGTCTACAGGCCAACAACGCATCAAGTGACGATGAACATCATGCGAGAGAGAGAAGAAGGGGCGGTCGTGCGAGCGGCCGTGCAGTCGTGCGGTCGTGCGTGCGTGCGTGCTCGTATGTACCTACAGATATCTCCACGTTATAGCTCGTGTACCAGATGTTATACACTATGAACTTTCGGTACGCCTCTTTCCGTTGGCGGTCTGAACCGTTTTTTACGGTTGAACTTCAGAGGTCACAGACCAGGCCGGGGCACCGACGAGACAAGAGACAAGTCAATTGGGGGATCATACGGATGGTCTAGATACTCATGATGACTTGTTCTACATTGGGTCTAGTTATGTACATGCAACTGTATTTGGTGCATTCGTAGGGTCATCTGTTCGACAGCCCGCTGCCAATGTGCCTGTTCCGAACTACTGTAACTCGTGGTACATGTAGATGGACTCGGTTCCTTGTTCTCTTGAGTGGAACGCCTGTTGTGGGAATGGTCTACTCTGTGCATGTCTACATGCTAGATTTTGGGATTAGCAACTGACACGAGTTTAATGTGAAGAAAACAACAACAACAACAACAACAACAACAACATTCACATATCTAGTCCATTTTTGAAGTTGGCAAACAAGAACGCAGAACGCATGTTGCCAGCGAGACAACGTGGGGTCTCCATGCGTGTGGTCAGGAAATTTCAAGGGGACGAAGACACAATCAGCCAACATCCGCCCGAAAGAACAACAGTACATCCACCCGACAACTAGAAAACTTGGCCGGGCCAAACACTACCTCACACTCACTCCTCTGCACGTTCGTTCATTACAAACGCCAGCACACAGTAGCCTATATTTTCAAACTTTTACTGTTGAACGTGCTAAACCCTTGTGGTATCGCTAGCACCACACTATTGCGCACACGACGAATACACTGCGATAACGTGTTGCTGGGACCCAGGGATCCAATGTCGCCGCTGCTGCTGCCACTGCTCTTCCTGGGCTTTTCAACGTTCTGCGGTCAGTGCGCCACCATATCGATCTCTCCGGGAGGCACCGCATTTCAGGTACAGACAACGTGGTCTTGTGTGAAGCGCCTTTTGAGCCTCGATAGGTTTCTGTTTGGGCCTCCGTCGGTTCTTGGATGCTCCTGGATGAACATGATCAAGGGTGTGGAAATTCAACACCAATGTCGAGTGGACACAACCAACGATCGGAGATTGTCGGCGGAACTCGTCACTATATCTATGCGCAGTCAGCAGTAATCGGTACTGCTGTAGCTTCGTTCAAGTCTCTGTGTGTGCGTGTCGCTTGATACACAGTAGACTCAGACTACGTCGATGTTTTCTTTCGATACTCGGACCGTGCTTATCTGGGATAATTAACCCTGACGGCGTGCCAATGCTTCGCCGTAAAGGCGCAGGCCATGCCAACTCCAATGAGTGACATCATTGGGTCATGACCCCAGCTTCGTGACCGGGTCATGACCGAGTCATATATGTAGTGTGGGGCATATTCGACCACTGTGTGCAGGTTAGAGGTTCAGTTTCAGTCCGATTCCTTTCTTGTCCTTCCTTTCTCTCCCAGTCGTTCGCTATCACTCCTAGGCAGCACTGAGCAAGAGGGAGCGTCATATGCATACCTTACCTCTGCTGCCATTCATGGTTCCGTTGCTTGCCTGAACTCGGAACACAACAATTTATCAAACGTAGGCAGCAGGTGGTTGGTATATTTCTACAGGATACGCACGAATATTTGGCGAGAATGCTAGATCATGATCCAGTCTCATGATCCTGCCATGATTGTTTCATTGCCGGGTCAACATCACTTTGACAGAGAGAGATGATCATGTCATGAACGGGTCATGACCGAGTCATGCGCGGGTTATGCCCGCACCGACAGAGCTAAGACCCATGATCGGGTCATGACTGAGTCGTGACCCGATCATCCCGATCATGACTGAGCCATGATCATAACCCCGCCACGTGTGTGATATCAAGGCCCGCCGGTTGGGAATGCGTTTCGCAGGGTACCACAATCTTCGCCGTAGAACTCAAGCCCGAATCATTACTCACGTGCGTGTGTGAACCACTTTGATTGAGAAAGGGAACAATCAAGCGTAGAGCCAAGATATACGAAGAATGCGTGACCCCACTAGTTCAGCAGGTCAGATGTACAGTAGTCTATGCCGTTTCGAACTTAGAAGTACAGATAGTTCAATCATCCACTCAAGTTTTCCACGTGCGAACCGCTGCACTGATTAGCACATTGCACTCACTACATGCTTGCCTCAGGATGCCCTCGATGAGGTCAACCCTGGTGACGTCATCGAGATCGGGCACGGAGATTACTGGGAAGATATCAAAACAACGGTGGGTGGACGGCGGTGTGGCCTCGCATGTGCACAAAGGGTTGTCCGCATCTACGAAAGGCCATCGCGTCCAGTCAGAAGTGGGAGTTCTACTGTCGTCGGTTGCGATACCATTATTCACAGTAGTACACTGAAGTAAGCGGCGAACCGAGTATTGATTGTTCGACAGCTAGAGCAGTGGCTGCAGCATGTGCTCCCATACGCCGCACCTTACCACGTCGGGGAGTCAACAAGCGCCAACAAGAACACTGAGCGCCCACAAATGTTGGGCGTGCACTGTTGACAACCCTGACACAGTACTGTGCCGTCGAACCTGTCGAGCAATGGCGTCTCTTGAGAATGGCGCTGGACGGCCGCTTCTCGCGGCCAAGCCCTGATCTCGGTTCATTCTCTCACTTCATCGTCGCTGCCCTGTAGATCGATGGAACGGCCGACATGCCGATCACTATCCGCGGGGCTGGGGGGACGGACGACAGAGACAACGTCGTTCTTCGCGGCGATGGCACTAGCAGCAGGGTGTTCGAAGTCAAGCACGACTACTACATCATCGAGGTGCGAATATCGTCGGCTACGGCGCAGGCATGCACTGCGAAAACGCCATGACTATACTGCAATGCGTATATATTGTTGGTGGGCCAAACGCAGCCGCGCATTCATATCGCTCATCGAGGACCGTAGAGCTCCAAAGGATAGGCTAACACGGAGGAGGCCTGTGGTGTCGAAGTGCAATCATGATAACTGAAGCGCCGCTTCGATGCAAATCATTTGGTGCCACACGCAACCGGGCATGCGGATATAGTTGTTCTATGTCGCAATATTCCTATTGGATGTCGCATGCTAGCAATCGAGTCGCCGAGTACATGGGCGACGTCATGGGCGTGTGGTGCATGGTATTTTCGTCTGGAGCGTTGTCGTGCCCTTTGGCGCTTGTCATAGTATCAGGCCTGCCTCTAAAGGCATTCGCGAGCAAGGAGTGAAGAGCATCATCACTCGAACATGCGTGTGGCGAACAACCAACTATCAGACGCTGTTGGTAAAACGAACAATTCTTGCCGTGTCCGCTCGCCCCAACCAGGACTTCACAGTGAACGGAGACGCGGAAGATGATCCAGACCGCGGTACGGGTTCCGATTCCATCAAGGAATTGTGGCGCGACATACTAATCTACGCCACCGGTAGGAGATTTCCCAACCATGGCGTCGTTACTTTGGTGTAAGCGGCTCCCTTTGTAGAGGTTTCGTTGATACTGTTGTTTCCGTTGCCAAGATCGTCTCGGGGCCCCATCCCAAGGTTGTTCGCAACCCTCCACAACGACGAGACCACAAAGTTACAATACTACAAAGGAAACGCTTGCAACGGGAAAGCTTTGGCTGGACAAGTGCAGAGGGGTCCGTTCCTCGCGTCCGTTGTACGAGAAACGTGCTGATGGTAAACCCTAGTGGCCCGTCGTCGCCGATGTCTGGCCATTTATTTGTCTTGACTGTCAACGTTGGCATGGCCCCTGTGGCTATCCACGCGTGCGGGGGAAGCTCAGGCCGCTACTCCCCCTCCCACCGCTACTCACCCAGTTCGTTGTAACGCATGGATGTTGACCGTTGTTTCCACTCCCTCCGTCGGTCAACCAGGCGGGCGGGAGCCTACCGAAAGGGATGGGGGCTATGTTTCTGGCATAGACGGCCTGGTAATTCGTAACATGGCGATCGCCAATGCCGGTGGCGAGTGCATCCGCTTACGCGGTAAGCGGAGAAGCAACAAATAGTGTTCTCGTCGCACACACGGGGTCCGTCTCTCGCATGCGAAGTGCGGTGACCAGCTATTCGTTGCCGTCAATTTCTTCTCGCACGATTCGATGCTAACTGCCGCGTTCATTCGAAAACGTGAGCGTGCTGTGTCGCGTGTTTGAGTGTCTGATGCTCGGTCGTACGCAGTGCTTCAAGGGCGTGCTACGTGCAAATTTCCCTTGTTTCCGTGAAGCCAGCTGTTCTTCAAGCAGTCTCCAGTTGCGTCTCAGAGGACAAAGTCTGACCGCGTCTAGAGTGAACTCATGCGCAGGCGGCACAAATTGGAATCACTATTGTTAACACCTCGAACCATTTTTCCTTTCGGCGTTCGTGCTCTACTTCCACCAAACACGCGGCCGCTCCTGCCGCTGCCCATCTTTCCTCTCAAGACCACGTGACGTACGCCGAGGTGTACGGCAACACTATCACCGACTGCGGTAAGCTTCAGCCATAGCCTTTTTCAATGCCTTAGCACAAGCTCCACATCGCTGACACCAGGGCTGGCGAACCCTAGTACCCAAACAATAACCTCCACCCCACCCCATCTCTTGCTTTCCGACGCTCCCGTTCCCGTCTTCGTGCGCCCAGGAATCTACGACTTCAGGTTCGAGTAGCCCCAATGCACCCAGGCTCGACCTGATTCGACTTGAAGAGCGGCGCGTTCTTGACATGTCAAGCGATTTTTCCCGAAATACCTCGCGTTACGCGTTTACCGGTGGCGGGCCTGGGTGGTTTGTTTTGTAGTTTGGTGGGGTGCGCAGAAAAAACCGGTGCAAGCGAACCCGTCAAACAGTTTGTTGTGCGGGGTGGAAAAGAGAGTGGCCGCTTCGAAATTCTCTGTTGCAGTCACAGTAGCGCGTCACGCCCGCACCTCTCGCTGGTACGTTCTGTTCCAATTCTTCTTCCCTCCACCCTTTCGGCCTTATCCTCCGTGTCATCTCCTTCCTCCCGCTCCCTCCCCCCCCGGGCTTCCACGCACCTGAAGGGAAGAAGGCACTGAGGGCAAGAACGGGGAAGGTGTATGTGAGTGGGACCAAACAACGAGAGTACTCTGGCGTGATTTATTCCCGGGGTAGGCGTGCGGTTGCAGTCAACAATGACAGGAACTGTCGCACAGTTTGAAGCATGACGGTGCCGTTAACAACGTCCAACAGTTCGGATTCTACGGATTTTAGTCAAGCACCTTGCCGCAATGAGCGTCAACGATGTCCTGCTGAGGCTACGCCGAAAGTGTACGCTTCGTGCTTGGGTCCCCCGCATGGGCCAGGCGTCTTTCGGAAGTGAGAAATGTGTAGGCAACTTTCGCCACTCATAGAAACGTTGGACAATACACCCAAATCATGGTACAGTGTGTGTGTGCTTCGACATGTTTATTGTCTCCCCTCTGACATGTTTCGATGGTCAACACGCAGATATCGGAACCTCCAGCACTCAGTGGGACGACGGTGACAATTGGAGTGACGGGCCGGACGTGTGCCAGGGTATCACAGTCCGTGACAACTTCATCAGGACAAAGGTAAGGGAAGAAGAATCGAACCTCGTCATCATGCTTACCACGAAAACAAATGTGCGCATTAACGTCATCGTACATCACTGCATGATATGTTGGTTAGAGCTGCACTTTGTCATACGTCGTGCCAGAACCAAGCATCACAGCGTCATGTTGCGACAATTATCGCGAGCTTCATGGCATTTGACACGAGGTTGGTGATCTCAAACGGACAGACAGGTTTAGAATCGAATCGAAAAAGGCAGGAACCTGTTAGTTGCCGGACTCGAAGCCCGACAACGACGCAAAGCGCAAGTTTCCCGCAAAACGATTGCCCGTTGTGGTTTGATGCTTGGCGAATTGGGGGTGAGGTGAGACTCTCTGCGATCTGCTAATAGGGCGGTGTACTTTATGCAGTTGCGGCCGCTCCTCGCCGGTTACCAGATTACCAGAAGTCCGCCTTGTCCGCACGAACTCATGTTCGCTCCGTGGCCACTACTGCGCTGTACTACTTCCATCAGGGTAACGAAGGCATTGAAGTGAAAGAAGGAACCGTTGAAACCCTGATCGAGGGCAACGAGGTGTACATGCAATACGACGCTGAGTCCGGAGGTGAGTCGGAGAGGCGAGGACAGAGAGATCAAACAGCTCCGGTTGTTCACACAACGAGTCGGCGAGACATTGATTGATTGGAGTATGAAAACATTGAGTAACAGTCTTGGACCCGGTCTATCACATACCTGGGACGCATCTTAAAGATTGCCCCAATCGCCACAGGAGAAACAACGTTGTCACAAGTCTTGATTACTCGTGCAGCATTGTACACGATGCATCCGGCTTACGCAAAACATGTGATGGGAATTCGTCTTCTCCCGGTGATGTCATGCACACTTCGAGGTTTTCCGGAGCACGAAAGTGTGTGTACCCAAACTGTAGGCTTTTTCGATAGCGCAAGACGTTTCCCCTGAGATGCGTCTTCGCACCAACCTTCTGCGGGGGCACAGAAGCAATCGCGAATACCACTCGAGCAACTACAACGAAAGCAAATATCGCCATTTGTGGGCAGGCATCGGAAGCCGAGGTGACCGGAGCATCATCCGCTACAACCACATCGAAGACACGGACGGGGCGGGTGTCCGTTTAGGAGGCCACACGGTGGACGGCATTGAGTACGGCGCCAACAACCAGGTGCTGGTGTGACCTCAGGCATACACCGAGAGTTCTGAGTGTATGCGATGGAAAGGTGCCGCGGTTTCCCCCACACGGGTAGCGCTTGTTTTCGTGACATTCAAAGGCTGGACCAAGGAAGGTTCGTCCGAGGAAGTTTCATCTCACCCGAATATTTACTTCTGCCGTCAACGTGGTGGGTGTCCAACAGTAGGACGCTGCTCTCACCGTGAGTCAGATACTTCTTTGACCCCCATCCTACCTCGGTTGAAAGGCTGAATATTTCGCACCGTTACACAGACACGCACCTACCTGTCGACGGCTTCCCCAGGTCCCCCAGGAACTTGAACGCCGAGGGCGACATCGCCTCGTCGCCGATTTCGGATAGATAGTGTTTTCGAGCCGGAACATCTTCCCACGCATCGACTTGGAAGAGATGAGACGGTGTCGAGCGAGTCCACATACAACAGTCAGTGATGATTCAACCAACTCATACGCGAACCACGGCCTCCCGTCCCTCCTCCCGCCCCCCCGGCCCTCTACCTATCCGGCCCGTCCGCGCATGCAACAGGTATACGAAAACACCATGGTCAACTGCCGGGCCTCCGGAATAAAGGTCATGGTTACTCCCCAGGGTCAGATCTGCGGCAACGACATCGAGGTTCCTGACACCGATGATGACGCCGACGTGAGTGTTGAGCCCTAGATTGGAGACCGATATTTTCCCTGGCCTGCTGTTCTGGTGGGTACGATACTCAAGGGTGGCGGGGGGCGTTACGGCCATCGATCACAAGTACTTGGTGGATACTTCCTTAGAAAAAACCCAGATCATGGGGGTAGGAGCCGCTTTTCTGGCCTCCAAGGTTACTACCGAAACCTGACATATGTTTTGAACATGACCCACAACACCCGTCTCCATAGTAGAAGAGCACACAATAGGGAGTGGCAAGTGGCTCTGTTGCAGGAATGTAGCTCGGTTCCGCGTCAGTCCCCGCTGAACCACGTCCGATAATGATTGATTCAGAGAACAAGCAGGAGCGCGGCCGCCTTTGCCACTCCTCTGAGCTCCGTCTTCCTCTCTCTCTCTTTCTCTCTCTCGCTTCCTCTCTCTCTCTCTCTCCCACTCTCTTTCTCGCTCTCTCCTTGCACTGGGCGTCATGAACGCAGTACAACTATTCCGGAGGAGCCTACTACTACGACCCGTTGATACCCTGTGACTCTTCGTCCTCATCGGCGCCTGGGTCAACCTCTGCATCGGTGAGCTCGATTCTCTTATAGAATACACTAGCGAGAGAGAACACTAGCAAAAGAGAGACCGAGATACGATGGCGACAAGGCGTAGTGCGATCTACTTGTCTTGCTGGAGCCGTCCATTCGATCGCGAGATGTAGGTGTGGGCCGTTCGTTCTTTGCTCGGGTAGCGAGACTCGTCCATTGTCTCCGATGTGCTGCTTGGTATCACAACTCCAGTAAGGTCTTGGCGCGTTCTGATACCAAACGTTTCGAATCGGCTGTCATTTGCATTTTGCCGTTTACATAGAAGTCGAAGTACCCGCAGCACCAGGTAGCAGTAATCTCTGGTTGTTCCGCTCTGTTGGGACTGGAAGCCGCTTGGTCTAGTTGTATTATAGGCTCCGCTTGGTCTTGTTGTATTGTAGGCTCGACACTTGATATTCGGGCGACCATGCATGGATAGATGCGCGGGAGGGAAGTTAAACACCGCCGAGGCGTGCAATGGGCGATTCACCCTCTGGCGTGGAAAGGTTCGGTTCGTGCATG